TGTAGGGCATACATTCTATAGCCGGTGTCGTTTTATCACTGAAGGTGTCAAAAAAATGGATGCAGAGGAAACTTTAAATATGGACTTCCTCTCATGACTCGACAAAATGATACCAACTGTGCTGTACTTTGCTCGCGGAAGTTCGGGTAACTGGTCTACCAAACTACAAACGATTGATGGCGAATCCTGATACTGATGTAGCTAATTTTTTTTAGTGACGTGTTCACACTTTCATGCAAACAACGATATCTTTGTCTTAGTTTGCATTTTATTTCGAGGAGGCTACTAAAATGAAAATTTGAAACAAAGAATTTTTATTAGTAAGCGTTGTATCGACAAGAACTTTATAGAAATCGCGTGACATCGGAAATCGCGTGACAGAGGATTTCAAGTTTTTGCATACTTATGAACCAAGCTGAAAGTGAATGAATGACGTCGACATTCCGTGAATATTACGAAGGAGCGCGGTAGGCGATCGGGTTGAGTCTCCCAGAAGGAAGCAAAGCAAGCTTTAGCATGCTTAAAACCGGAACGTACAATTCGATCATTAATTCATTTTTATTAAAGCGACAATAATGTTAAACTCCTTTTTGCGCTAATAACAGATTCCCTATTTAAAAGGCGCGACGTTCCCCTCGCTAAACGCGTTACACCACTCTTGCATCGATTATTTGAGTTTCAAAAGATCGAGTTCAAACGTATNATTTTTTTTAGTGACGTGTTCACACTTTCATGCAAACAACGATATCTTTGTCTTAGTTTGCATTTTATTTCGAGGAGGCTACTAAAATGAAAATTTGAATCAAAGAATTTCTATTAGTAAGCGTTGTATCCACAAGAACTTTATAGAAATCGCGTGACATCGGAAATCGCGTGACATAGGATTTCAAGTTTTTGCATACTTATGAACCAAGCTGAAATTGAATGAATGACGTCGACATTCCGTGAATATTACGAAGGAGCGCGGTAGGCGATCGGGGTTGAGTCTCCCAGAAGGAAGCAAAGCAAGCTTTAGCATGCTTAAAACCGGAACGTACAAGTCGATCGTTAATTCATTTTTATTAAAGCGACAATAATGTTAAACTCCTTTTTGCGCCAATAACAGGTTCCTTATTTAAAAGGCGCGACGTTCCCCTCGCTAAACGCGTTACACCACTCTTGCATCGATTATTTGAGTTTCAAAAGATCGAGTTCAAACGTATGTGATAAATTTCAACTGTTTAGACATTCTGTTCCGGAAAACTCAGGAAATTAATTGCTGGTTTTCAGTGTCACGCAATTCAAAATAGATCAAAAT